ACCACAAAAATGAAATACAATAATTTTAAATATTAACCTCTATTTGGACTAATTAACATTCACATAAATTACACTAATATAATTGTTTACATTTTAAAATAAATAAATTATCTACAAGAGATGTTATTTTGGTGATATATTGGGCAAAATTAATGTATTTTAACATGTATATGCACATACTAATATTAAAATTCAAAATTAAAATCAAATTTAAATTAAATTAGGAAGAAAATTAACCACAAAATAATTAAAAATACTTTTTAAAAAAAAAACTTTTTTTTGTCAAAGTCAATGTTGACCGTTGACCGGTCAACTAATTGACTGGGTCGGGTCAACACCTGGCTGCTCCTGGACCGGGTTGGCCCAGCTGAATGGGCTTCTCCCCTTTCCTTCTTTTCTTCATTTTTTTTTTCATTCTTGTGGACCAAGCCCACGTAACTTAAAAATTTAAAACACAAAAATAAAACCCATAACTTAATTTTTTTTCTTTCCTCCTTGTTCTTCCTCAAGCCCGAAGGGGCTTTTGAAATGCTACAGTAACGGCTAGATTTTTCCAGTGTCGCGTGAATTGCCGGACTTTCTTCTTCATGCAACGGCAGTCACCGGTTGCTTTTCCTTTTTTTGTTTTCTGCTTCATATATATACATATATAATTCTAAATTGCTGCATGTATATATACATATATATATTATTTAATCTTCTGCATATAAATATTTTTAATATTCATAGATATATTTCTAATCTTTATATATATACATATATATTTATTTTGCATATATATTTATGCATATATACCAGTAAGTTTGGCAAGAGGAAAAAATTAAATTCCTGTTTCCTTGAGCCATTTGATATCTTAAACAAAATTAGTACGACCGTCTACCGATTGACACTACCTCTAGACTTATTTAGAGTTCATAATGTATTTCATGTCTGTATGTTACGCACGTACAACTCTGATTCCTCACCTATTTATTTTGCATATATATTTATGCATATATATGTATGTATATATATATATATATATGAATTCAGTCAAACAAAAAATAAAATTCAGTTACTCGACAATCATAACTATCTTTTATATCGATAAATTTTTAAAATTCTTATTTCGTCTATCATAAAACAAGAATATTATAAAAAATGATATATGCATATTACAAATTCATACTTTAAGCATTAATATTCAATATTGTTTAATCGTATTTGATTATTTTTAAACGAATTTATTAAATTAATAGTCTGATACATATAGTAAAACGCACATTAAATCTAGATATTAAAAAAAAAATCCGACATTATAATATCAATCTTATTATTTCACCTAAAAAAATAATAATTTATTTTAATACTTACGATTAAAATATATTATATTTTATTCTTAGTAATATTACAGCGATAGTAAATTCCTTACTAATGGAAATCCAATTCCCTTTTTATAAAATGTGGAGTTGAATTCCTATAGAAATTATGAAGAGATTTATTGCAGATTTATGACTTGATTAAATAATAATATTAAATTAATACAAATTTGATAATCAAAATTATAAATAAAAATATTATCCTTAGATGTATATTTTTATCATGAAATTTATTTGTTATCCTAATATCTTAGAGCACATATATTACATAAACATGCGCCTTTAATGCTATATATATATTTATTTATTTCTTTATTTATGAACAATCGGCATAATAAAATAGTGGTTTAGAGATAAAAATTAAATATAATGATAGAATAATTAAATTATAATTATAAATATTTATATAATTTAATACTTATTAATACACTAATAAAAAAATTTGAATACGCCAAACTAGTTCTACGGGCACTTGGGTTTTCCTTGTTTGGATTTCCAATTGTTATAGCAGGGACATTCTTCTTTGTGGCCGTAAGTGCCTGATGGAACACACAAACATTTTTTGCAGCACATGTCGCAGTAGAATAAGCATCGTTTCGGATAATGGGCGTTCGAACATCGATAATCACATGCCTCGCAGCATTCTGATTATACAAAATCATATATACATCATCAGTAAATAAGTAAATTAATTATCACTATTAACTTCATAGAAATTTAAAACTCGATCTGTATATCTATATATATGTAATTTGATTTTATAAATAAATTTACTTACGATCCGGACGAAGCGATCCTTCTCCTCCGACCTGTATATGTATATAAAGTAAAAAAAAAAAAAAAAAACTAAATTAACTTCATGTAACCAATACACTATAAGATTGAAAATATGCAGCATAGAGAGAGAGAGAGAGAGAGAGCATTCACATTTGAGTCTTTCACCGTAGTACCAAAAATAATGAGAGTGAGAAAGAGAGACATAGAGAGTGGTGAGATTCTAGCCATTTCAAAATTTTCTAGGTTAAAATTTGTATTAAGGTAGAGAAAATAAAAACATATATATTATGTGAGTATGATAATAATCCATGTTATATACATCTATATATATGTATAGATGCAACACATATATCAATATATAGAAAAGCAATTTCCAGTCTGTTTTTTCTTTAATCTTCTAACATATTATATGAATGAATCTACATATATATTAACATATCGACCTACCTATATGTACATTAATTAATAACATATTGTACAAATGAATCTACATCTATGTTAATTATATACATATATGTACATTAATTAATATAATATGCATGTAGGTGTGAAAGTATTATTATTATTTAAAAAAAAAAATTAAATCATATTTTTTACGGTTGTCAAATTAAATTAAATTTAAACAATTTTATTACATCTTTAAATTAAAAAATATTTTATAACGATTAAATTTTTTTAATTAAAATAACTTAAAATTTTAAATTAATTTTTCAATTTTTTTATTTAAAAGGAAAAAGTAATATAGCTAATCATATCATATATATATATATATAGGTGCCAAATTATAACAATCCATGTAACCAAGACGTGGTCTAATTGACTTTGAAATGAATAATTAAATTTATTTCATAATCATGATTCCACGTTAACTTTAAATTTCAAGTTAAATTCATATGTAGATAACGAAAAAATTATATATTATATATTATTTATACATATAATAAATTTTTAAAAGGACATATAAATGTATGTATAAATACAATTGAAACAATATTTATACATATAATAAATATAAATGCATTTATGTGATATATATACATATACATATATGCATAACCTTCTTTACACTTACAATTAGGTAGGTAATATCACATATTTTGTTTTCTTTTTTCCAATTTACTTCCATATATTATGGCTTTACCAATAATTTTGCTTTGGAAATTCTTGATGAGTTTCCCAAAGTAGGGAAAGAATTTGAAATAGAAGATGTTAAAAAAAATATATATTATTTTGGTTTATAAATTGAATATTTAGCAAATGGAATTTATATTTATCAATTGATATATATATATAGAAAATATTTTAAAACAATTATATATATATATATAAAATACATCCATTAAGTACTTATATATGGATGGATTACTCGATGTGAACAAATATAGTTTTTTATTTGGTCTTAAAGTACTTTATATTAATGCAATAATATATCTTGTTAATAACATTTAATTTGATATAAAATACATTTATTATATTATATGATGAATTTGAAAAAAAAAAGAAAAAGATTTCTTATATACTTTCTTATACTCTTTATTTCTTTATATTTTTCTATTACATTGTTATGATGTATTTTAAAAGTTTATAACAATTATTATTCATTTATACATATATAAATATTTTAAAAATTATACCAATATACGAATATATGTATAAACAACAAATACACACGCGCGCGCGCGCGTCTACGGGTATATATTTATACATATATATATATATAAATTGGAGTCTACATGTACCTACACATATTTATTTTTAGAAATCTTTTGTGTATTATGCATATTATAAGAATTGTATATTATATATATTATGAGCTGTCTGTATAATCAGAACTAAGATTAAGAAACTCCTTTTTATATCAAACATAATATCTAAAAACTTAGTTTTATATGTTTTAAAAATATTAGTTTTATATTATATGTTCAGATTTATGAAATAAAATTATCATATTTAAAATGTACAAATAGAAAAAAAAAATATTTACAAACTTCATTTTATATTATCTATCAACATTTCATATTTGAAAAATAATGTAACGACCCCGGAAAATATTAAAATGAAATGAGTATTTAAATATATCAAATGCGGAAGCGAGATCAAAATTTCAGTTAACATCCCTTACACGAAAAACCAAACAAACGTACTTAAAATATAAAAGGTTAAACTAACTAAGAAAGAAAACTCGAAAATAAACTATGCGTATGACTACAGAGTCTCTAGGCATCCCCTTCGTCGTCCTCCTGCGGAACGGGCTCGGGAACCATGTCTTCCTGATCTGAAATGGTTAATTAAGGAGTGAGCTACACTAGCCCAGTAAGAACATCACGATATCTCACCGTCACGGAGATAAAGGTGGGTA